TGGCTTGGCAGAAAGGGGAGCCCGGCGCCAAAAGCAGATCTTCTCACACACTGGGTCTTATTGGCCAAACACAAAGCAGGGGCAGCGGTCTGTAGCCCTTCTTTGTCTGGAAAACTGGGGGGTACCAAGGTTCTGTACTTTGGACTACAACCCCCAGCATCCTTGTGGCTAAGGAAGCGGGGGCATTCTGCAGTATGGGAAACCCTCCAGAAACAGCCTCAGTCCAGCCATTTCCAGCCTCTGCCTCTTCTCTGTGAAATGGGGACAGCAACACTCCTGCTCGGCTCCACGCTTGGTGCTTCAGGCTCTCCGGAAAAAAACTGGGAAAGGTGGCAATTTCTCCAGGGGAAGGTAGTAGCCCACTAGGACCGGCAGAAGACACTCCCCTTCTTTAGGTCACCATAGGTGAGCGGTGCTTCCATTTCCACCGGATGCTTTACGATGTTGTCCCCCTCCCTCTTTTATTCCAACCGGACAACGGCCTCTTATCCAGCCGCTCAGGGGACGGCGTCCGCTCCTTGTCTCAGACTTTTCCCTCTCATCGCAGAGCTCCAGAATCCTGGAGCCATGGCGTCGGAAGGGGCCCTGGAGGCCATCCAGCCCAACCCCCTGCTCCAGGCGGGAATCCAACTCAAAGCAGATCCGACAGAGGGTTGCCCAACTTTCTCTTGGATGCCTCCAGCAACAGTTAAGATGTTTTTCACGATCTTCAGCCGAAATCTGGTTTCCTGTTGCTTGAGCCCATCATGAGACGTCCTGCAGGTCTGGGTTTAAGAGGGCTAGAGAGCATGTGGGCCAGAACGGAAACCTGGAGGACGGCTGCATGGCCAAGACTGGGGCGGGAGGCGAGGAGAGCAGGGTTCTCCCAATTTCTCCCCCCTCCAGAAATCTCCCGGAGACCTCTCCACCCCACCTCTCCCGTCTCCCTCTTCTGAGATAATTTCCGCCACAGCCTCGATGTGGTCCCGCCCGGACATAATTTTCCAGGCTTATGAAAAGTGTCAGAAACTATTTGGTCTTTCTTCAGATTCACAGTGATTCCTCCGAGTCTGACTCCGCCAGGAGATGGGGGTGGGCTGATGAGTCAAGGGGGTGAGTTCCAGGTGGGGGGGGTGTCTCTGTGGAGAAGCAGCCATGTCCCTGGGGAGGGAGTCTGCAAAAAAAGGGGGCATCCTGCTCCTTTCTGAGGCCAATCCTTAAGCTGAAACATGTTGCCTTGAGTTCCATAGGGCATACTCACGATGAGACTGGTAGGGCTCCCGCCTAAGAATGGGAGCATCTGAGGAAAAGTTCAATAATAATAATAATAATAATAATAATAATGATGATGATGATGATGATGATGATGATGATGATGATGATGATGATGATGATGATGCAGCTAGCCTGATCTGTATCACTCAAGGGCCGAAGTCCTCAGAATCTGCATTTGAATCACCACGGATTCAGACATGCAGATGATGCTGAAGGAGGCCCACCATTGCTCGGTTCCTCTTCTTCTTGTTTGTTTTTAAGGGAATCCTCATTTTTAAATGGATCAAGGGCCGGCTAGGACGACCTGAAATGCCTGCTTTCTGGGAAGAGCAGTTCCTGTTTCATTCAGCTGGCACATGTGGGTGAACTGCTGGATAGCTCAGCAGCTTAAGTCTTTGACTGTGGACCCCAGAGGTTGGGAGTTTGATCCCCCCCCCCGACTATGGACCCCAGAGGTTGGGAGTTCGATTCCCCCCCTCCCCTGGGCCTCCTTGACAGGGGCTGGACTGGATGATGCCATCGGGTCCCTTCCAGCTCTGCCACTCAAAGGTTTTTATTATGATTATTAAAACCAGTCTATGAGTTCAAGGCCGTTTTCACTGCAGAGAGAAGGTATGTTTTTTCTTTTCAGCAAGCAAACAGACATGGAACTTGGAATAAGCCGCCACATGCCCTCCACTCTGCCCGCCCTTGATGGAAAGCCATGTGTTTGATTCGTGAGGGCTGCCTGAGGGCATCGAAAAGACCCCACTGCATCCCTGGGACAACAGAGAGGGGGGGGTCTTTCCCCCTTGCAAGACAAGCCAAGACAAGCCTTGCAACAAAAGGGCTGGCATTCATTCTCAATGGTGGAAAATGGAGGGAAGTGCAGGTGGCGAGCAGGAAGGGATCTGGGGTGAAACACACACACAAACACACACACGTTTCTGCTGGAGAGTTAGCCTTTTTTCAAGGCTGTGGGCCTCAGTTGCCCATCTAAGCTCCAGCCAGACGCAATGGGTTGCCATGACGACATAGCGAGCTGCAAGGTGCAGGCCACCCATCACGAGAGGCACGGCGGGTTCTGCCGATGGTCCGCAGGGGGCCCAGCGTACCCCATGCCGTTGCACGAGGGTGCGCGACCGGCAGACTACTGGATCAAGGTGCCCGGTAACGTGGTCGATGCACTTCCGATGCCCCTGGCTGCCCAGGGCTTTTGACTTACCCACAACCTGGACATACCTTTGGATTTCTCCTCCCCTGACGAGGCAACTTTTCATGTGTCCCAGCTCGGGAACGTGTGGATGGCCTGCTCAGAGGAGCCACTTATCTGAGGGGACGTGAGGAAGGGGGTGAGGTGGGGTGGGGGGTTCTGTCTGTGGCATTTCAGCCCCTGGTGAGCGTC